CAGTTTTTTCTTCAACACAAGTGCACTTTTGCGCACCAAAACCCAGCTCCCAGACAGGGAAGGGGGAGACTCGCGCCCCGTGCCGGTAGCCGGAAGCAGGACCCAAACCTCCCGCTTCCCTCTGCAATGCCAGGGGAGCCTGAGACGCCCCCGAGGGGAAGCAGCAACAGCTGGAGCAGGTTGTTGATCACCTAACGTAGCCAAAGAGCCAGGGATGGCTCTGGCACCCCGCTGGTGCTGGGGTCTGCCGCCCGCTTCAGCGTTAGCAGGCGCTCCCGGCCTCTCGGGGGGCGGCGAGATGCCGAAGCGGTTTCTTTCAAAACCGAAACAAAGAGGTTCTGTTTTCTTCTGAAACGCAGCTGGAGGAGGAGTCCTTTCCATCCAGCAGTTCGGCGAGGAAACTATTCGCCCAGGACATGGGAGAGCTGGTTTCAACTTTACTCCCTGCTGGAGGACATTCAAACTTACCCTCCTACCTCAAAAAAATATCCTAGCCACGAGACTGTGAGCTGTGAGGAAAGGAGAGAGCAGCGGCCGTTCTGCTGTGTATCACGAACTGCAGAGCCTCTTCCCTCTGGTGCCCCGTTACCATCGCTGCGGCTAGAGCGGTTTATTTGCGAGCAGGGTCTGGCGGCTACCAGCCCCTCCTGCCAGAGTCTGTTTACTTACTGCACCTTGCACACCCCTCGGATGAATCACCTTCCTCTTGAACCCTGGGAGGCTCCCATACTGCCGGGGCACTGGAAAAAAAGGTGGCTCCGAAAGATTGCCTACTGCTATGAGAGGTTTTAAAAGAAGGAGTCCCTGCCACGACATTTGTGCGAGCCCCGGGGCCAGCAAGAGGCATCGTCAGCATAAGGTGGTGCGCTGGGCCCCCCAGGGACTGCAGCAGAGGGCAGCTCCTCTTCGGACCATGATCAAACTCAGGAAGGAGCGTCAGGAGTCAAATAGCTCAAAATTATCTAGGCTGATGCATCTCTGGGCATGCGTTGCCACTGCCGTTAAATTACAGCAGTGAAACAGAGAGTTTAGGCAGCTCCCAGGAGAGGTGGCAGCTGAGCAAGGGTTCAGGGTTGCAGCTTGGGAAATGGGGGAATCCAGGCACCCCAGTCACCGTGTTTGAGATCTGGCCAAGATCTGTGCTACCTCTTCAGCGGTATTAGGAACTGATTTTTACTCTGCATTTGGCACTGATGAAGCCAATTTTAGAAACTGAGAGAACGGAGAGAGAGCGGAAAACAACCTCAGCAAACAATTTGAGGGCTGATGTCTGATGGTGAAAGACACTGGTGAACGAAAAATGGCTGTAAGCTAAATTCAGGCAATTTAAAATAGGCATAAGTCAGAGGTCAAGAGCAAACAATGACTCATTGCTAATACAAATTACTAATGGTGGATCCTCTACCTCACCCTGCAGGAAGGGACTGGGTGCCTTTTCACATAGATGGGCCAAGGTGTTTACGCAGAAGGGTTCAGAAAAGGTTCCCTGACCAGAGCTGTGCAAGAGGCCTGCCAAAATGACACGGAGCTGCCGTCTCATATGAGCCCTCTGTCACTGCACCAAATCCTAAAGTACATTCATGCACCTAGTCAGTGGATTTTCAGGACATGCCTGTTAGATAACTATTAAATGTTGCCTGGAAAAAATAAATACACAGGTAACTGTGATGCTTAGTAATATCAAATCATATTCCTCATCTTCTTTCTCTTCTAAAACACACACCAGCTGTTCTTGGAAAACTAAATAGAGGCTCAAATACTTTGGTTTTTGCAGTCTATTGCCATATGATGCGTTCCCAGCGGTAACCTTCAGTGACGGGTAAGAAGTGTCTAATAAGCAGCCTCTGTGCCATGCAAATTTTCTTTCTTATTCTTGGCTGAGTGCATTAGACAGCTCTGGGGCTGGTACTCACGCTATTGAAACTCAAGAACAGCATTTTTAGTTTTTTCAAATGGAGAGAAAAGTCTCGATCCAGCGTTAATGCTGATCTGGATTTATGCCCACCAACTATCAAGCAGAGACAAATGACAACGCTGCTCTTTCAACCAGCTTAATGATTCTGGCAAGAGAACTGGCAGCAGACTCCAACAATTTCATCCAGGCAAGGCAGTGCCCGCAGTGGAAACCTCCAGATGGAGAGCTGGCAAGTGCATATTTGTGCTGGAGGCTTAAATCAATCATTTCCATTTTTCCCAGTGTGACCTAGCAAAATACAAAAATTGGCTCTTTCATCAGAGGCCACAGGCCACTTCTTATGTTCAAGGTATTAATCCTGTGGGCTGCAGTGATACATTAACTACATGTAAAACAGTCAGAGTTAAAACCACCTGTTTAATCATTCTTTTACAGTAGCTCTAGTTTGAAAACTCAACAGTTTCCTTTGTCTAGAAGATCTTAGCTGTCCCTTGGACTCGTCCCTCTGTGCCCGTGCAGCACCCTCCTCTGCCCGGGACATGTTCCTGGCTCTGCTGCTCTGCTGCTCTTTGTCACCTTGTGAACCGACACACGCTCCCTTGGCATCCAGGGCTGAGGCACTCAGCAGTCAAAATGCTACTGTAGTTGTTATGTATCAGGTGCACTTTCTCTCTCATAGACTTAGACAAACTTTAGGGGCCTACTTGCGGAACTTGAATTTAAACTAAGGCAGGCACCTACTCAGCATAACTGCAAATAATTCTGCTTCTGTAGATACCCAGTCTTGCCTTTGTTTACTTTGGTGGGAATTGAAAAGTAAAGGGAACATCATCTAAGTCTTTGTAGGCTTGCACAGCTTGCTTGTAGAGCAGTGCCATGTGAACACTTGCCAGGTCAAGAGAAGTGCCATGGAAATACTGTATCTTCTTATCAGCCTTTCTAAACAGTCATGATTGCTCCATATGTAGTGATGTATCTGCCATTGCTGCCCTCCTCTATGTTATAACTTAATGGCTACTTTAGCCAGGGAACATGTTCAGGTGCCTTCTACACTTCTCTCAGCTTCAACAGATCAAAACATTTCTCATCTGCCAAGAGAGCGTCTTACTTTTTTCTGTCCTTCTCTAAGCAGAGAAAGGCCGTATTACGTTTCCAAATCAGTTTAAAAAAAGCCCAACAAATTAAAAACACATACGAAAATAAATGCCATCACTATTTATTCACTGATGTCTCTGATTCTGTCCCAGATCCCAGGAACATTGCAAGCTCAGGAGTTCTCAAACTCCTGAGAATCCAGAGAACTAAATTTTTCTCTATTCTTTCCTCCTTGGTTGGCCTCAGCTTGTAAATCTTCCAACTTGGCCCTCCAATGATAATTAAGGCAATTAGCCTGTATCTATCTCCTTTGGGCTAGTCCCTAACACAGTCCAGCTGATTTCTCCAAAGGGAACAAAAATCCAAAACATTTAAACAAGAAAAAGGCTGAGCCTCAGAGGACAGTAACAAAAGTGCAAACTGGAAGATAGGTCAAGCTAATCATCTGCACCCCGGTATTACCGCACAACATTTTTCTCTGCAAGCAACCAACTTCCCTGAAAGAAGTGGGGTGAAAGGAGAGCTCGCTCACAAGGGAAGACCACTCTGAGTCCAGTTCCAAGGGCACTTGGTCCCAGTCCATCCCTCCAACACTGTTTATGCACTTCAGAGCAAAGAGTCATTGGACAGAAAAAAAACCCAGTCCTTAGAACAAGCTGTATCGTCAGGCACATATCTGTGCCCTTAGCTGACCTTAAGATGTTCCTCATGCCACAGGCTGCCTATCTCTGTCCCAGGTGGAGTCATCCAGCTCGTACCACACACAGCACGGCAAGTCTGATCAGGGGTTTTGCTTCAGGAGTCAAACACTTAAAACCTAAGCATTGCCAAAGGGTAATAACTGCTGCATTTGGGACATGCTAACATATGAGGAGTGAACTTAGCAGGAGGCCTGCTGTATGATGTAGCTCCTCAGAAAGGGGGAACCAATGTAATAGTTGCCCCTGCTAAAGGAGGGAGTTCTCACTCGCTCTCCTCATTTTCCTCTGCTTCTCACCAAATGCTCCAGCCAGACCCTCCCACGGGCCAGCTCCACTCACTAACCTGCCAGAGCAAATCCAGGAAGAGAAAGAAAGCAAAACGGTTTCTGCAGGTTAAGTGAGTTGAACTGGCTCACAGAGAGCTGTAGTCAGTGCATGGCCTCGCAGCCAGGAGAAAGAAGGTGACACTATCAGCAGCACTGAACTGTTCAAACAGCTCATCAAGTAGATGAAACCAGAGCTTCAAAGGAGAGAAGCTCTTTGAACCACTCTTCAGGGAAGCCCCTATAAACTCAGACCCTTCTCCTTTGGTTTTAGGTGAGCCAGGCCCCCTGCACACAAATCCTGAGCTGGGCCGTAGTGAGGAGCAGGCAATAAGGCTGCCAGGTGAATGCCAGGCCCTTATCATTGGCAGATGTGGAAATCTGGTCCCAGATTAATTTATTTTTTGCCAGCTGAAACCGTTTGGCAAAGGCAACCTGATATTTTATGGCAAAAAATAAATTGCCTAGCTCTCCTCCAAAGTTCCCATTTCCAGGCCCATAGCCAGTTAATACTTCATCTTTTTCTGCAGCATGCATCAGCAGTGGAACAAGCACTAAATGAGTCCGGCTGGTTCTGGTCTAGCAAAATCCCAAACTGGAGCCTGCAGGGATCACGTGAGGTGCTGACTGTCCACCACACCTTCATTTATTTTTATTTCCTCAGATTCCATAGAGTATCTACTTAAGAAAGTTCAGTTTGCAGGTGCAAGTTTCACAGCTTATATCTGGCCTGGATTTTTGGTGTCAGGAAAAACATAAGAAGAAAAAAACTCACTATTAAAGAGAAGGGTTCCAGGGACATTTTTGTATTCCAGGGAAAAGGATTTTCTTTTAGCAAACATTTGTCTGTGGTATTTGCAACCTAAATATCACAAGCACGATCTGAAAAATAACACTGATTAGAAAATGATTCTTAAAACAAAACATGTCCCTTTCTTTGCATAGCAATAACGAAATCTCATCGCAGAGTTTTCTGACCCTGTAATACATTAATTAGTTGGAACGTGTCCACATCTCAAAATCATGCCAAGTGACAATTTTTAATTGCACATAATTCCTACTGGAGTTTTGCTCCATAAATTATTTAAGTTACATTCAGGTTTACAGAAAACATTTTAACCCATATAATCTTTGTATAAACCCACTGGGAGAAAAAAGTGGCATTCAAGAAGAATTACAGTAGTTTAAAATAAATAATAGATTTTGCCATAGATTTTTGCATTTAATTTCCTGCTTACAAGAGAAAAGCCTGTAACCCTTATTTTCTCCTCCAGCCCTTCCAAATCATGGAAACAAATTTCAGAAAGGTGCCTAAGACCAATAATTTAAAAAAGAAACAAGAACAAATCCTTTCATCCTTTTGTTTCCTAGGTCATAGAAAGAAAAACTATAAGCCTCCCATTTCCATCTGTAGCACACACTTTCACTTGAGAATTAGAAAGTGGCTTAAATTTGAGCTGCAAAAGAAAGATGGAGGCATGCCTTTATTCCCTGGAGAAAGCATCCCAAAAAACTCTGCTTTTTCCATTTTAAGCTTTAGAAATTTGAACTTCTGCTTCCCTTAAACTGCAAGAGGGGAGAGGAAGGCCATGACCGGGCAGCTGGTAAGGTGCAGACACTGAATCTTGTCCTGTGCCAACTGGAAAAGATCCAAGTCAAAAACCAAGTTCACAACCCGCATCCCCCACCCAGGCCCCGAGGCCTGCCTAGGAAGAACTGCTGTTCTGTGGCTACTTCTTAGTATTTGAAACCAAACCGTCTTACTGCTCTTTTGCTGCACTTATTTATATTAAAGCGAAATAACTGCTTGAAAAACAAGGAGGTGTCATTTCATCACGCCCTGCTGAAATGAAACACACAACGCACATGGCCTGTATACATTACTGCACATTAATTCCAACCCAGAAGAAGTATTTTGTCTGAGACTTAAAGGCTAGTACTGAGCCCTTTTCCTGAGCCCTTTTCCTTGTTCCTGCAGCCAACCGTGTGAGCCAGCGGGCAGGCCGGGGCATTCAGCACGCTCCGGCAGGGACGGGCAGACCCAGTGTTAATGCCCCATTTCTTGCCGGAGGCTGGGGCTGAGGCACGCGGAGGCCTTGCTGCCTCCCAGACCGAAATTCAGCTATTGCTGTGGTACCCATCAGTGCTGGCACTTTGAACCACGGCAGAGAAGCTACCATTTATGAAGGAAAATTTGTACAGTTTTACCATGACTTTGTGGTCCTGTTTTTTCCAACCTTCCCTCGTGCAGGAGTAGCACTGACTTAGGAAGGAGGTGGGCCTGGCCCTGCATCCTCTGCTTTTCTTTCCTAGACATATCTTTGCAAAAAGCACCAAGGGAAGGAGCTTGGCTCCCCCATTTCATCTGGAGAACTTTGCACTCTCTTCACGAAAAACTTGTTTCCCTGAAAACAAACGCTAAGCCTCAGGCTAGACTGTACTAACATAGTTTCTCCTCAGTCCAGCCCAATGCACAAGACCCTTCCGGGAAGCTATAAACTGTCAAGCACCGTTCCCTAGCTCTGCCTTGGCTAAGCCACCTCACTGGCGTGTGCAGGTGCACGTGAACCTACATTAATGGTAAATGCGCTCTTCCTTCCCCCTTCTCACACAGGTGTTTACTTCCTTGAAAGATAAGGAAATTAGCCTGATGAAGCAAGATACGATTTTTCCTCTACACATAAATTAAAATACATTGTGTATACATGTTTATGTATACTGCATACATGCACACAGTTTTTGACTGTGAAACAGAAAGGATAGGATTTTTGAAGGTATTCGACATACAAAGGAATACTTTAAGCCACTTATGAAAATTCTCCTAATTTCCCATTGTTGTCTTTAAGCATCTAAGCATATCTGAGGGTTTTCCAAAGCAAAATTTAAAAATCCTGTTATGTGCCTATTTGCATTTCTAGGCAATTAAAACTAAAAATAGCTCCAAATCATCACTAAGAGACATTTCTATCAGGAGAATGTTCAGTTTCATCAAAGCTTTAGTCCTTCTTAAAGCTTCCTTTGTCTTTATAATGGGTTTAGGATAGTCAGGGGATAAATTAGGTAGGAGTAAATAATGCTATGACTCATCGACGTACAGGAATACAATAGATACTTGAATATGTCCAACAAAAAGGTGCTACTGATGCTTGTTCCCGTGGCGTTCCTCTTGTTAACTGGAATGTAAGGCACTTTCTTCTTTCAGCTTTGAGTTTTCCCCAAGTCATCTTCATTATTCAAAGTGCCATAGCACGCCCAGTGAGAATCTGGCTGTATTTTGCCTGTCATTTTTTGTCCTAAGGAATGGGGGTGAGGGAAGGGAAGAACAACAACTCTATGAAAAATTAAAAAAAAAACCCCAAATCCCCCACCACTCCATCATTTAAACATTCTTTGCTCCAGTAATCATTGTTTTCACTTGACTTGTTGTAACAATAGCTTGGAAAAAGCCTGAAAAATTCTTTGGAAAAATCTGTTGGGAACAGGAATAGAAATTAAGGGAACAGTGTATTTATTAAATATGACTAGAGAACATTCCTGACTCAACTCTCCCAGGTCATCCCATTATCTGATATCTCATTTTTAAACAGAGAGACAGAAAAAAAAGAACCCTACTTACCAGGAATATGTCCACAGTCAATATAAGGAATCTGTAAATGTTCCTCTTTTCTGTTTCTTGTAATTACAAATACACCAAGGAAAGAAAGGAGACACCTGCAAAAAACAGTGACATAGTATGATTAGGGACAGTTCATTGCATCTGAGATGAGGCTCTCGTTCCGTGTTTCTTTTTTCCAGGGCTTCCAAACCTGAGCTGTTCAGCTTATAAGTAAAGAAACTTTTGTTCCTGGCAGCTCTATACATTCAACTTGGGCTCCCTGTCAGTCTAGTTTCTGCCTCCTGAAACTTTACTATCAGTACCAAAGGCTCTACAAACAAAATTACACTTTCCGTGACATAGGAACCAAATGTCTGTGAGCATGAGACCACAACATTTGAATCCTTGAGCACATCTTCACAGAGTGTCTGAACTAGCATTTTAGCATTCCTAATTTCATTAGCAACTTAGTCGTGTTACAGACAGTCAACATCTCTGTTGTTTTTCTCATTTGACTGTATGTCTCAAGGGCAAGCTGTAAGCCAGAGGCAATGAGAAACTGCTATGCTTGGATAAATCTGTCTGCTCTATGTTGGACACACAGTCATTACTTCCTGCCTGCCAAATACATGGATTGAATTTGCTCATCTCCATTTTCTGTTGCTTTTACTGCAGTCAAAGAACATAGTAGTTCTGTGCATCTACTCCAGTCTGACTGCAGGGGAAGAAGATGTCTGTAGTTATCAGTCCCATTCATTTGACAACGGTGGGAAGACCCATGACCAAGAGTTCAGGGAGATATATTTAACTATCACGTGCCCATTCTGAAACAACTTTCACCTATCGCCTGAACTGTTACTATGCTGGTGGCCAGCAGAAGAGTTCTGCTCTCACTTAGCACTTAGGCTGTACTTCTTCAAACATTTACTGCTAGCACTTTATTAGCATGCTCTGAACTTCTCAGCAGGCACGCCATGCCTTCCTGAGCACAGGGAGGTGGGGGAAAGGTATTATAATACCGCCTTGCAGGCAAGCAACTCATGTAATTGCCCACGGCTAATGGCGGCAGAGAATAGCCAGACACGCGAGTGGAAGGTAACATGGAAGGACATTTCTCGCAGTCATAAAAATATCCTCTACAACATGATCTTTGGTGGAGAGCAGTGATCTGTCCTTCCTGCAGGAGGAACATATGCTGCTAGTTTTTCATTCCGTCGTGGGATTAGTAGTTCATAAGTGTCTCACATTTTTACATATTTGGATTCAAAAACAGGCCTGCAAACCCCCACAGCACTGATATTAATCTTTCCTTTAATGTTTTTTATCCTACTGTAATGGCTATTCCATAATACTTTAATAACAAGACGGGTTTCTTCTTACTGAGAAAAGAAGGCAGTCCGCAAAGCAATGTTGTTTCAATACAAGCTTTAGTGTAGATTTTCAGCCAATACACTTACCCGAACAGAAACATGAACACACTCAGCAAAGCTGCACTTTGGAATTCCTGATAAAATATGACCCCTGGAATGTGACAGAAACAAGAATTGCAGATCTTGACTGGATTCCAAGTGATATGAATTACAGCTGGGAGGGTCAGGAGCAGTGTCATGCTCAAATGGAGCAAAAAAATCCCAAATATGGTATTAATACACATTATGAGGGGGGGGGGTTACATTATATGCCCATATTCCACTATGTAGGCTTTCTCAGGATACTGTATGGGACTGGAGAAGATTTAGTTTATTGGGTTGGAGCGCTTGCTGTTATTAACTGCACAGACACAGGTATTTTTTGCATTGTCAGCAACACAGTTTTTATGCAGGTCAGACTCAAGGTCTTATTCACAAGCCGAGTCATACCAGTATAGCTAACAGGTTCTTCATGGATTTAGTTAAGCCACTACAACAGGCCATCTTAACTCCAATTAATAACAGATTTTAGATAACTAGCAATATCCCTGATATTTACACCAAGTTAAGGGCTCCAGCAGCCAAGTTTGCCAAATCTTTCCAGCTGAAGGGATCACTAACTCTTTCTGGTCACCGTTCTTCTAGGAATTAGCACTTCTGCAGTGGTGGTGACAGAACCAGATGCATATCTGGATCTCAGCTGCCCCAATTCACAGCCAAATGTATAAGCTTTAAACCACTGAGGAGCATAGTTTTGCTTAGAAACATCAGCGTGTGAACCATAGCAGCTGAAGAGTGACTGTATCTTCAAAGGCTGCAACTAGGGATGGGGGAATCACTAAAGAAGGTACCTTCTGCAAGTACCCCAGCAAGATTCAGCAGAGCTCGTTCTTCTGAGCCCTGTGCTGGTTTAACTAACCTGGTGCAAATGCATGTGTATCCAGTCTCAAAGCTATTAAGCTGTTCCTGAATAGGTACTTGATCTTTCTAGGAGGCACAAGGCCAAATTCTCCATATGGTCACAAGAATGCAACCCCCTCTTGGCCAAAGTCTCCTCTCAGTCACAAAGTGTAGGTCTCCTCTAACACAGGTGCTGAGGCAATCTGTGCATGAAGCTAACTCCCCTTCTCATTAATGGCAGCCCTGCATGAGAAACTCCTGCACAGCAATGACAGGAAAGCCCCTAGTGTGTGTTAAAATGAGTCATAAATGTTATAACAACAGGATCATTTTGGCTCATTGCTGATACAGCATCTTAGTCATCCTCCCTGCTCATGTTCTTACACTGTGCACCATTTCCAAGATTTGCAGTCGCTCTTTAACAACACTGAGTTCAAAGTTCTCACCCAGAATAAAATGTTAAATGCTTAAAAGGTCTTCAGAGTCATTTTATTTCCTTCGCTTAACCTAGAATTCCGCCTTCTGAAACTGCATATACACTAACTACTATGAAACACAGCTGGTTGTCATTTGAGTAGTTTGCCAGGCTATTAAAATTACTCTACCAGTTCAGATAGGAAGAGGCTGGTGTGCACATGGTAAATGCATTTAGTGGATGTCAAGATGAGGCTAGGACAAATGCAGATATTTCTAGTAAGCCAGCAAGGCACAGTAAGCTGTACAGATCAAAAGCTAGAATTTGATTATTTTCATTTTGCTTCAAAGGTTGTGAACTTACTCATTTTTCAGAACTTACACACCTGTCAAATAAGAAAAAGTTCTTCTGATGGAGACAAACACGACTGGTTTGAGTTCCTGTCAAAGGTGGTAATTCAAACTTGATACTTAGAAAATCATTCTGTAGAGACAGAAGGCCAGAAACAAACCTGAAAGGATGGCACTGGTTGTGGAGAACACAAAGTTAACAGGCACAACTGCTGTCACTTCATACAGCTCCATTGCTTGATTCAAGAACCTGGAAGACAGGAGTTGTTGCACCTTGTGGCTACAGGAAGTTCTTTGCACTTCAGGAAAGTCTATGCAGTTTAATGTAAGTTTAATAGTAAGCGTGACTGTTTCTCACCACAATATTAAATAGCCCTGGACAAATGGGTTTATAATGACTATATTGAATTTGCCTGCTGGGTTTGACTGTGCAGAGTACAAATAGCACAAAGACAGAAGGTTAGCGGGGATTCCTCTGGCCACGGGCTGTCATTTGAGAGTCCTTACTGAAGCCCCACAGGAAAAACGTTGTCTGCCACAGATAAGGGAGCAATGCTAGGGTGTTACTGGCTATGGTCTGCATCAGTTCTTGGAAGCTGTGCCGCCTGCCAGCAGCCAGGGACACGTTGCTCTAATTTAAACAGGTCGTGTAAGGATATATTTCTAGCATGGTTATGCACACGAGTGCTTGAAGGAACAGTTCCACTTTGCTGAAGTCCACATTGCTGTCCTTTTGCTGCTGCTGCTCAAGCCGACTCGGTTAAAATGCACATTTGTGTATTTATCCACGCAATAACACCCCAGCTTACACAGAGCATACTCTATCTTGCCTGGAAAGTCCAGGAAGGCGGCTCCAAGCCTGTGCTCTTTGGGCAGGAAGCTCTGTGTTGTGCTTCTCATAAAGACAACACAAAACCTCACCAGGATCATCAGCAAGATGCAGGACCACATGAGCATACACTGCATAGGAACCCACAGGACCAAGATGTTGGTGAACAGGTCATGGAGCAGCCCTCACGGTCTGCATCAACTGATGAAAAAAGCAAAGCAATGAACTCACTTATAAGGAGAACAGCGCTATCAGCCTCTACCCATAAGGTGAGGAACCATGAGCGTGAACCCTGGGATGCATGAGCAGATACTGTGTTATACTAACAATGAATTTCAAACAGAAAGAGAAAAATCAGGAGACTGCGGAGTGTATTCAAAACCTATAAAAAGAACCATGTTTAAATGTTTCACTGGTACAATATATGTGAACAGTAAAAATCCAAGCTTGGATCTGTTTTAGCCATTAAAGTAATTGCATGGTTATTTTAGCAACTGTTGAACAGTCTCCATGGTGCTTTAAAAATAAAGAAATCCTACATATCCACAGGATAGTCAGGATTTTGAAGTCGTTGAAAACACCTCATTATTTTCTCCCATTTGCAACAAACTTGGTCACAGGGCCTAAAACAGTGAATACCAAGGCCCAGCACTGAATCCAGGAGGATGTTGTAGCACTGGCTGCTCTGAGCTAACAGATGACAGTTAAATAAAACAAGAGAGAAGACAAAATAAAATGAAAAATCTAGACTGAAAGCACTGTCTCCTATAGAAGATGTGTCCAATGGAGAAGAGAGGAAGAGCCACTGTGCCCAGGGAATGAAACAGGCACATTTCACTTCTGTTCTAATTCTGACCCAGCAAAAGAAAGAAAGAAAAGAAAACCTGGCAAGAAGGAGAGGTTAATTTGAGAGCTTCCTATTTACTGAATTTTTATTTCCTATTTTACATGGCCTGAGCTGTTCTTCCCGTGCAGACAAGCTGGATGTAAATCACTCTCTAATCTCTTGCAGGGGAGTTCCTGAATCAGCCATGGAGAGTCACTGCATAATAACGCATGGACTTTCTGAGTCCACATGGGAATGATATGTTCTGCCACGAGAAGGCTGGGTTGGCTCTTCTACCGGAAAATAATCATGCAAGTAAACACTCAGACTCACACTGGAGCAGTCTAGATGAGATTACTGAATGATGCTATCAGCACCTGAAGCAGAGGGACCGGCATGAAGGGAACGGACTCTCCGTTCAGCTGCAAGCAATATTTTACCATGCTGCCACCCGCAGCAATCTGCAAAGGCAGCATGAAACAATCACTTAACACACCAGAGGCCAGCAGAGAAAACCCCCATGTACCCTGCTCACCAAAAATTAACTGTTTCCTAAAGAGGCACAGGCCCACAGGGTAACAAAGCTCAACAGGCAGGTTTAAAAGAAACGGGGAGAACGTAGGGCTAAACCCTCTTCTTCAGTCTGGCGAGTGACATAAGCCAGGAAGAAGAGGTGCGTAACGAGGGCATATGTGGCCATTTGATTATTGAGCAATGAAGGTTTTTAAAAGTAGCAGCAAAAAAGCATCAGGAACATGACTTTCTTTTAATGAGTTCAAAGCCTGTGGCAAAATTAAAACTGAATTTGGAAAAACTGTGTGTGAGTTGATAATGAAAGGAGGTAGCACCTGTGTAATTAATCAGTTACAAACTGCGAAATAAAGCCTAAATAAACAGTATAATCAACTGCAGGCAATTCATGCATCTGTCAAGACTCTGCCAGGAATTTTTTATATTTAACTGTAATTTGTATCTAGAGTCAATATCAATACTGAACAAAACTGACAGATAAATGGGTACAAAGGTTAGTAGATAAGTAGAAACTCACTTACTTGACTTGGAAAGCACAAGAAGCTGCCATTAAAATGCACATGATATAGAAAACAGGATAAGTAAGCTGCATTTTACCCTTCACAGAAAGTGTTATCATGCCAGCCACGGCTTTTACAGCAATGACAGTCAGCGATGCTGAAAGAGAAAGGGAGGGATTAGCAGGGCAGCATCCGCAGCAAGTGCCTCAGAGCATCAGTGAGAGAGGACAGCGTGCCAGGTCACATCCAAAGGACTCTGTCATCTGAAGAAAGACTGAAGTAGAGTTTGGGTGCCTAAATCAAAACGTATGAATTTATAAACCCTTGCGAAGCTAGTGCCTCAGCTCAGAGTGACATTAACTCCATGCATACTTTATTGTTTTGCTTTGAAGTTCTTCCGGCATTGAGGTCTGCAACCCTGCATCTACCCAGGATTTCTCCATTTTCACTGAAGTAGGTCAGGTTAGAGTCTATTTTATATGTAGGCCTCATGAAATCCTGCAAGGTGGGACTCTGTGCATGTGTGTAGGTATGACAGAGAGCGAGTCTGAACTTAGGCTGAGGAAAGAGCTGAATCCTTTTCTCACTTTTGGACGTATGCCCTAGACACTGAACTATCAGACTGAAGGGGAACTACAGCCTCCACATCTTCCAGACATGCTTTATCTAGCCCTAGCTGCTAATTGGGAGCCCATGTTGTATTATTCAGGAGAGGGTCAGAGGCGTCTTATTATCTATTCAAAGCTGCTGGACATCTTAGCAGCCTGCATGGGATACTTGCAGCCTAGAGGCTTAAAATATCCTCTCACCCTCAGGATTTCTTTGCTGAGTAAGGTGCTGGTGAAAGCTGGGCCGAGCTCACCCTTCGGGTCCCGTCACAAGGCACCGAACTCTCCTCTCGGGCTATAAACAGAGTCAAGGCAAAGAACACAGCAGTCTGCATTTCTTTCCAGAGGCCAGGCTCTTCCAACCATGACTGGATTTAGCTCACAAACTAGAATATTTAAGTAGCGCATTTTCAATCCATTTATCTATTGTCATTCCATAGCTACAAACGAATCTTGTTTAAAAGAGAGCAGGCAAAGATTTTCATATGTGTCACCAGCCCAGAGAGGTCTTGCAGCACGCATCGTTTAGAAGAGAGGCTGACAGTTCAACTATGAGTTACTTTAGATTTCATTTTGGAGTGTGCTCTTGGTTTGCTGAAGCTAAACTAAGTAGGTTGTGATTACTCAAGTAAAATGTAACAAATTCAAAACAAACTAAAAATAATACAAATAGTTAGAGTGCAGAGAGGACCTTACAAGAAAGGTAATTAATCATCAGGAACTCAGTCCCTCAGCTGGGATCCAATTCCACCTTCTTCCAGAGCTCAGGAATGTTTGATTTCAGTTTTCTGGTTCATCCTAGTATAGATGCAAAATTCAGATTGGCAAGGAGATCTGCACTTTCTAAAGAGTTCAGGCCAAGGGATGGGAGAAAGGTGGGGGAAGAAGGAAGGATTCAGGCCTGGGGATTTGATTCCAAGTGTTTTTCTTGTAGCTATTCCAAAAGTTCAGAGGGAGTTTAAGAACTGCATACAACTCATGACGATCCTGTTCACAGTCATGAAATATTGCTTTAATGACAACCTTTGCTCATCGTTAGCATTTTGCTTCTTACTCTATAATTGAAATAGGTGGAGTTGTTTAACAAGGCAGTACTCAAAGTGAGCAGAGCATGCCAAATTCTGAACTATAGTGATGCTAATGATATGAGAAAAGCCAAAAAATACCCTCAAACCCCAGCAAACTGCCTACACAGTGATTGAGAGTTGCGTTGTAAGATGATAGAGTTATTATTTAAAATAGGGTTTACAAATAAAACTCGTACTTTGAATTATCCAAGTGAGAGCAAATATTTATGAAAAATTGTTTCTGATGATAGGGCACTTTCCATTCCCTACAATTTTAACAAATCAGAAAGGAAAGTATGATTTCTTTTTTTTTTTGAGAAATCAAATGTTCTTTTACTTAAAGTAGCCCTGGAATAAGTTTTGAAACCTAGGCTACAAAGCCTAGCAAATGGTTTTGCTATCTCTGCTAGAAAGACACCCCCCCCCACCCCAAGCTCATGTGAGAAATGATGTCACTGTCCAGCTGTTAGAGCAGGAAACTCAGAAATCTCACTCCGAGGAATCTGAAATTTTTCCCCAAATGTATGATGACTCCCAGTATATATATGAGGTAAAATAATGCTCACCAAATCAACTTGCAGACTTGTACTAAGCAAAATGTTTTCAGATTTTACATTCACTTCTGTATTGTCTTCATAATGAAAGTAGGTCTCATTCTATCTAATGAAACACAAGGGTATGAACCCTCTTCCAGGAACTTAGTACAGGTATTAGAAAAGGCAGAAATTCCCCTCCACAAGATGTCATAGAGAATTTTCTGCACAGAGCCCCCAAAGCTTGGCTGCCACTCCTGTAGCCAGGGCCCTCCAAGGGCTGTTAATGTGTCAGATGGTGGAGAGCAAAGCTGCTGGGCCTTCTTTCAGCCCTGACCAACCAGCAAAGCTCCCCGAGACTTTGCTCAGCAGAAGGGTCAGAGACCAAGTAGATGACTAAATGTAGTTTTGTGTGGGGCTGCCAGGCACCAGGACGGCTGCAGGAACTGGAGCCAGCCACAGTTCTGAATTTCCCACTTGAGGGAAATGTCAGTATTTCAAAAGTTACCATAAAGCAGAATTTATTTGTATCTTTTTTAACAGAGCAGAAACAGTGATATATTATTTCTGAAGCTGCATATACTCACCAAAACCTCAGCAGCCACTAACTGAAATTGTTATTTCTTGCTTGATTTCAATATGACCACCAAATACAAGTTAGTTTCAGCGGGAGGATCCAAGGGTTTGGAGCACCCCATGCATCCCTTTGCTACTGGAGGTGTCCAGGTTCCCAGGCTCCCCAGTGAAGCTCACAGCCCAGCCTGCGCAGCTGGACAGCTGAGCTCCCTCAGACCGTAGGTCTGTTCTGGACCGAGGCAGCCCTCTTGGTGGGTCTTCCCAAAACTGCAGTCAGGAGTGGAAACCCATCCTGGGATCTCTAGGCTTCTCGCTATGCAGCCAGGAGCCTGGAATTGTCCAGGAGTGCTCGACTTTTCCTGCTCCTGGTGGCAGAGCCAGAAACTGGGACCGGTTCAAGCAAGTTCTCCCAAAGCTCCCAGGCTCCGCATGAGGATCTGAGACCTGGCCGAACTCACACATCCCACATTCTCCTGCAAAACCAACAGTGTTCAAACACTTAGACCCAAGACTTGGAGGGCTCTTAAATCTCTACATCTTGTGGAGAGTATGGAAATCCCTCAAGGCTACCATAGAACTATCCTAATGTTCCTAACACTGGGGAATTTAAGTGAGTGGACTGTCCCAAAAAGGTAGATCTGAAAGTCCAAGCTTATAAGCTGGGTAAAAAACTGGGCAAGGGTCTGGTGGAACCCAGCTAACAAATCTACGAGGGTTTTTCACAGTCAATTAAATCCAAACTGTGTAACTGGCAAACTCCACTGAAACTCTGTTTTATCAAAGCATTTCTGACCAGCTCCATCATAAACATGTTTTGTAAGTCTGTGCAAGCTGATACATGTGCCCACTGAACTCAGTGGAAACAGGGTTGATTTCAATGGCACACTTTCAGCCCCTTTCCCCTCAACCAAAGAAATGTGGTGTCCCATGAGGGTTTCTCTGGAGAACTGAGAAGACAAGGATGGGAGAAGACGTAGAAAGGTAACAAATTATTAATATATACCTGCAAGTAGTGGAACTTTACAGATAACCTTCTGCCTTTTTTCAAAATTGGTTCAAATCTGACTTTATTAAAAGCTGCTCCAGAAAACGATCTTCCTTGTTTCTCTGGATGCTGATGATTTTCTGATAGCAACATTAATTAGAACACAAACTTCAGCAGCCCACTGAATTCTGGCTATGCTTCTGAAAAGGTGGTAATGTTGCATATGCAAACAGGCATAGGTAATTCAAAGAAAAGTTTCCAGAGTGTCAAACTGTAGCACTGCACATACTTACAGAGTGCTTACAAGATCTTTAGTCATTCTGTTTTAGAGTACCGATTTTCACAGCCAGCCTGCTCTACAAACAGCATATCAAACAGACTCACTAATCCCCAATCCCAGGATCTAAACATAAAGTGTTATTTTAAAAGGCTTCAACAGCATATTCATTTAAGCAAATCTGTAAAAGGAAACAGTCCTAGCAATAGGCATAGAAACTATATTTAATAATTGGCTTTTCTCTTCAAAAAGGGACAGCAATAAAATGGTATAAAATGTTCTAAGGATTGTCCTTCAGCACACAACTTTGAAATGGCCCTGATCTAAACTAGCAGGGGAGACTGAGTGACCAGGAATTATCAAGCAACAGACAGGAACATTAAAGTGAATAATATGTTCTTACCCAGCAGTGCTACCATCATTAACAAAACCACGATGTGCTTCACAGCCTTTCTTTTGTAAAAATAGAGGAGAATGGAGAATGCGATTATTTCTAAGATCTGGAAGTAAAAAGGGAGAAAGTTAGAGAAAGTTAAATTACATAATATATGTTTCATTCAAAGTCTTTGAGATGTCACATTCATCTACTCTGCTCTAACAATGCAAAGGAGAATTACTCTGTTCAGCATCGTTGACTAAAAAGTAACCTTATCACCAGTCAACTGAGTTATCAAAAAACTGTTTTCATATGTCTTTCCTATTGCAGAGAAAGTTAACTTTAACCATTTCTTTTTTCTTTACTTTTTCTTTTTGCTCATTTATTTTCTCATTGGTAGCATTAAGAAGAATTTTTAATGTGACAGCAGTCACCCATGTTCGCTAGAAAGAATTCTTACAGAAACTCCATGTTTTTAATCCCTACAGAGTGAAGCACTTACCTGGAGGAATGGCCATCTCTCCTTCTAGCAACAGTTTTCCTAGTGTCCACCCCGTGACAAGCAAGCTCACCTTTTTGCCCCCCTCTTTGCCCTTCTCCTTGGCTGCAACCGAAAAAATCTTTAACATTATCTTTTTCTCCAAGAAAATCACGCGTGGTAAGGGGGAAAGCATTTGTTTCATGTAGCGGTTCTCAAATCACAGGCTACCTGTCAGAAGCATACCTTGAAAAGCTCAGCGACACTCTAGTAGACTGCACTGCAGGACTTCTGCAGTTGCTGAAGCAGCTTTCCTTATACTGTACACAGTCCAAATTTTCTCCCTCAATATCATCTGACAGCTCAATGACTGACAGTTAAATTTATTGACTTGCTATTAATAAGTCTCTTTGTAGATTCCCTTAGTAACTCTTGCTTTTTGCCAGTGCGGTGCTATTTCAACAGCAGCGGCTCAGCAGAAGCTTCCCGCTATTACCAGCTATGGAAATCACCACTAGCCCTCACTCTGGGCTGAAAAGCTGAGCAGATGAGACCACTCCAGGGAGCAACAGAGTCTGCCAGGCTGGCAAACAGCAGCCCATCTCCAAACAAATATTCACTCTACTCTCATTTTACCTGAAGAGGAGACTGAGAGGGAAGAAGGCAGGTCTCCAGCCTGCCTCCCACCAGGGTCCTGCTGTGGCCCTCAAAGACCTCCTGACGAAGGCCGGGAAAAGGAGAGTACTTGGGCAGCACAGCTGTGGCTCTACAGCTGTGACTCTGTGGCTGCTTTCCACGCTCACCCCTGGGGCTGTGGCCAAGGTAACTTTTGCCAGTGGTGCCCGGGAGGTGGGAAGCCCAGGAAGCAAGAGCACACCACAGCGACACCGCTCCAGCTGCACTGAGCACAGGGAGAGGCTGAGGACAACCCATCTGCATATGACAGAAACACCATGGCCACCTCCTTCCCCTGCACGCATCTCTGAAGGTTGGTCTGTACGTGTGATGACTTTTGTGTGGCTCCCGGACTGATCCTGTAAGTGTCACATACGCCCATGGAAAGCCCAGGTATCTGGAGCGAGGACCCAACTGCAATCAGAGCCATGTGGGCAGGGAGAAGGTGACCAATCCCCTGTAAAACCTGCTAGACTTCTGTTCTACATTGACTGGTACCTGCTAACCAGCTCCAGCATCTTGAGAGCATAGATATTGTCCCTCCTACCTAAGGCATAAGTAGCTGAAATGGCCCCCTATGCCCACAGAAAACAGCAAGTGCAAGAATCAAAGAAGCTTCTGTGAAGTCCAGGAGGCTGGTGGAAATGGGGCTGATGGGGATCTCGGCACTGAGAGATGTTCAGTAGCAGCTTTAGAGGCTGCATGGAGCAAGAGAAGTTTGTGTGCACATGTCAGGATGCAGTCGAATGGGGAAAATAAAGAAGACAGAAAAGGAGATTATCTTCATTACTGGATCTGGTTATTCTCAATTTTTTACTCAAGAAACAAATCCTAGAAAAACCTTATTTCCCTCTCTATGGTTCCGTCAGCTATTACTGTGTTATATTTTTTAATGCCACTTCACTCTTAGCTCAACAACAGCCATAAGGCAGCACTGGAATCAAAAAGAAAGATCTGTGTGTTGCACTGAAAAAATTTCAAAAGAAAAATCTGAACAGTTAGCAGCAGCGGTTATGTAATGTAACATAGCTGATTTCTCATTTTGGAGAAAGAGAGCACCAGGAAAGCAGTCATCTGCTACAGTCAGTTGATAAATTACTCTACCACACTAACGATCCCCCAGTTCAGTAGTGTTCAAAAATATTAGCAGAACATAATTATGCTTTAATTAATTTTTGATTTACTGTCACAATTATCCTTTGCTCCCAAAGGCAACCAGAAGGCAACTGCATCTCAGAACATTACTGATAAGATTTGGCTTTTATATCACATTTCTTAAAAAAATCTCAAACAAAACAACTATTACAGGATTAAAAAAAAGCATACTATTTTCTGCAAACATGTTGCAAACAAAAAACATTTTGCTATTAGTTAAAAAATGCATTTCTGGGCTAATCCTTGTTTAATAATATTTGCAATCCATTATGCAGTGCTGGTCTCATCTCTCTTCATGACTTCCCTTCCCACCATGCTTGCACCCAGAGGTGAAAGCTGAGACACCACACGGTGGAAAAGAGGCCTTTGCTCCAGTCCTGCACAAAGTAACCTCACCAGCTTCCCCAGGATTATTCAACAGTGTAACAGTGGGTATGTCTGAATTAGGAAACAAGGTAGAAGTCATGTTAGGAGCTGCAGACATGTGATGCCATCCTGGCCTCTCTATGAAAAAGAAGGGCAGGGTCTTGAGGCAACTCAAGGAGAGGAGAAGTAAAGGCAGCAGCTTTGCTGTTCATACCACTGGCAAAGACATCTTAGGGCTAGAGGGGAGTATCATGTTATCAGGCTGCCACTACAACCGACTTCAGATTGCTTCAGTTGCTATTTTGACAGTGAACAATTGCTATCAGAATGGAAGAAAGCTGTGCTAAATAAATATGCCCTATATGGAAAGGTGCCCAGGCTAAGAAAGAAATTCCAGAGGTTTCCCAGGTATCTTGTTCCTTGACGCGCTGGTTCAGGATGGGCTCATACGCTGCTGTGACAAGGACAGGACCATGGCACTGGGTGACAGAGTACTGTTGGACCTGCTCCTCCATCATGTGACCTGAGCACCCATCACCTCACCCAGACCCTCTGAGCAGTTGTCGCAGAGCCGGACAGAGACGGTTTCCTATGTGCATAAAACTGCAAGACAGCCCTACTGCAGGCAACAGCTGTATTTCAAGTACTGACCTCTTTTATATCACCTGGACATTCCTAACAGATCCTATCACAACACAAAAGGGAAGCACCATCATCTAGCCACTCGCTTAGATTTCAAACTAGACAAGAACCATCTTCCACAAAAAAGGCCCAGGGACAATCGGTCATCCAGGGCACTGCTGGGATCTGCCAAACTGCTATGTCATGCCACCTCCAGCATGCCGCATGCTCTGACACATCACCATGACCTCCAAGAGCGGAAGGGAGCTCCAAGTGCTGCCAGCCTCGACTGATCCACATTGCTGCTGCTGGCTCCATGCGTCAGCCCTCCATTAGTCTTCACCCTGTTATCAGCTCTTCTCTCATTAAAGAACTACCACAAAACTCCACTGTGGTCTCTGTCTGCTTAAAAGTAAAACAACCCACCAAGAAAACCTGCTTCTGAAAGTAAACAGCCAAGCAAAAGCGTCAAAGGAACATAAAGGAGTCCCTGATGACAGGCTCTGGAAGAGGCAGGCAGGGCTGCATGCTTGGCTGGGACTGCCTCCTGGGGAAGCCTGTAAGAGCAGGGATGGTGTGTGGCCAGGGACAGGCAGTCCTGAGGATGCACCTGCAGAGAAAGCTGATATTTGCTTTTGATGGCTGTCATTTAACTTTACTCAGCTCTGCCAAGTCTCGCATGCTGAGCATGTAATTCAAACAATTAGCACTCACTTCATGCTCCCCAGCAGCCAAACTATTCTTTCTGTATTTGTGGTGCCACGGTTCTCTGCCCCTCGGTGACCTACCAGCAGGTCACCTTCAGTCACCAGGCAAGGGAGAGGCCATGGCACTGAGTCACACTGCAAGCAGAGTGCATGGCTATGACAGGATCCCACACAAAAAGGGAACCTTCTGGGTGCCCCAGCTGTTAACTACAATTGTGTCCTGAGCACTAACCAAAATAGTGCTCTCTCATAGTTGATAGCTGTGGTGGTGTTAAATACAAACTCCAGGAATGGGAAGTGTTTAGATTAGCTCAGCTTCATGTATTCTGTTTAGAAGAGCTGAAGGAACTTGACCTGCTTGCAATCATTTTTGCTATTACAACTAAACTGTACTGAAGTCTCTTCAAGCCCTCATCTCATCAAGATTTTTATATTCATGATGTTTTCCACGTTTCTAAGCATTTCCAGAAGGCACCAGATCAAAATAAGACAGTCTCTCTCAACTGTTTTTCTAGGACATACAGCAACATAGGGACTAATGAACCAGGACCATTCTTCTAGGTCTTCCAAGCACTTTGAAGGAAAAGCAGAACTTCCTTGAACCTGATTTTACAGAGATTAGTTATTAGTAATCTGATATTATTCTGTTTAAGGAAACCTAAGAGCTGCATTTGTAACTGATGTCCTATGTAGTGACTCAAAATGCACACAAGCAAAAGAGAAAAAAGTGAGATATGATAGTCATTCTTGCTCAGACATGATTATGTTACTGCAAAGGCTCAGGAGGTGACTCAAAGTTGCCTCATGTGGGAACTTCAGGCTATTTTTTCGCAGACCTCCTCTGATGCCAGTGAAGTGCCACACAGGAATGGTTTATCACCCACGCAGAACACTTTGTACCGTTGGGGCTTTATATTTCTCAGCAGATCTCACATTGGGGCTACTTTTAGAAAGTTGGACTGCATGATACTGCTATACTGTCTCCTCTCTCTATATATTTATGCTGGAAACTCTGCAGCTTCTGCTGTGCTTTTTATATCTCAGCAGCCAACCTGCGGTAGGCATTTTACAAACAAATATGAAGAGCTAGTTCCCTGCCCAAAGATAATGTTTATAGCAGAGTTTGTTTTAACTTCCAGCAGTGTGCCAGGCTAATCAGGCTATATCTGAGTCTTTTGTGGAGCCTTTTCCTTCCCCTTCTTCTTGGGACACGAAGCTCAAAACAAATGAATCCAAGGAGCAGAAGAATCAAGCAATGTATTGAACAATGATAGAGTCAACAAGACTTCCTGCATAGTTGCTCTGTCCTTCTCTGCAGCCCATGCTGTACATGCAGAATTAGATGCTGCCTGAGGCTGCGGAAAACAAGAAGAGGAGAAAGTCTGGAGGCTACCTACCACCTCCTTATAATGTCTCCTAAGAAGCATAAAAGTTTTCCTAGGCGTTCAATTGTGTTCTTACGACCTTTTCCAAAAACAAAGTCAAAGAAGTCCTCAGATGGGGAAAGGCCATTTTCCAGCAACCTGTTGGTTTTTTGAGAAAACGTGGCCTTCTGGGCACCATCTCCAGCTCCAACACCATCTGGCACAGAAATTTCTGGTGCCACTGGGAATGAATGGAGAACTTCCTCCCTCTACCAGCTCTGCACAAAAGATGACACAGCGATTAAAAAACACTGCTTAAAATGCCAGGCTTTTTGTATTATCTGCTGGTGGAACAGCATGGTAGAACGGGATATTCGCTAGGAGAGAGAGCGGATCCTCCAGCACCAACTTAGTCTCGTGTCCTGAGCCACCTCCTAAAGGAGTCCCTCTCCCTCTGCTGATTACAGAGATTTGCTGAAGCTCTTGCTGAGGCTGAAGTTAACCTTTGTTGAGTACCCCAAAACTCCGGAGAGGCCTTCAGAAGCCTCTCTACTGACTGACTGAAAGTGCATGTTATGGTGTCTGGAGCATGATCACTAATTTCTTCCACTGAGCTGCATCACCATCTTTCAGGAAATTTGAAAATGCACAAAAAATTGAGCAGGAGAATCAACATTTTTTAGCGTTAACTTGTACTTTCTGCTTAGCCAGTAGCATCATGAATAGTAAAGGTGTATTTAATGCCTGCAGGCTTGCTTGAAGATTAAGATCCTTAAACTGTCTACTCTGGAAGTAGCTTTCTAACTGAACTTCCTACTGAGAAAAGCCTGGGCACTAATAACGTAGCTGAGCTGTGGCACTTTATTGGGAAAAAGTAACGTCTCTGAAGCTCACATACTCCATCTTCTGTATTCAGTTGAAGGAACGAATTTTCAGCATTCTAGAGGGAGAGAGAGAAATTCCTCCTACTCACTCTGGTCTTGATCATGATGCTAATTAGATGCATCAAAAAAGAAGGATGGGGTTTGAGGTTTGTATACAGAAACTGTAATCAAAGTGGTAGTTTTGCATTTGAATTCAAACTCCGGTTCAGATTAACAGTGGATGGCAGTGAAGCAGGCAGTCTCTGCACAACTCTACTCTACACAAAGCTCCTTTTGGCCGGGTTCAGCAACATGGGGATAAAACAGAGCGGTAGGAACAATAAAGCAGGACCAGAAGGATACATAGCTTAATTTTTAAAAGCACAATTCTATCACATTCCAGAAAAGCACTATAATTTAGATGTACATGCAGATAGTGTGGCATGAATACATACATGGCAAGTATAACCAGTGCCAATATTTAATCTTTCTCTCAGTCCTCTAAAAAATAAAATCTTTCCTTTCTCATCAGTCCTGCATGGCAGTGGCTTACTGGGTGACCCAAGGACTTGCTCTCTCTGCTATGAAAACCACATAGGGAGCAATTTATCTTCCAGAGCAGGTTTCAGACTTTAATTCATAATGCTGCAAAAAGCCCAAGAACCCCAGTTATTCTGGTTTAAGAAGAACTGTAATCTAGATACTCACCGCATATATCACAAAAGGCCAGCTCACTAAGTAATTCTGTACTTTTTTTGCTGTGAGCTCTTGGGGTACGTTTGGAGTGAAAGTCACCAAAAAGTATGTTCCTGCTACTGCCAGTGTTCCTCCTTTAAAGAAAAGGCATGTTACTTCGGTAATAGGCATAATCGTGGCTGTCCTTGCTCTCCAGCTCATGTGGAAAGCGCTTAGAGCAGGAAATTTTAGTCCATTTAATCAGATCTGGACTTAGGAAATTGTATTGTTACCTAGTATAATTTTTAATAAACACTCATAGGATTCTGGAAATATGGAAAAAGCTGTCAGTAAAGCCTCATGAATTAGGGCTCCAACTCAGCAACGCATTTTCAAATATGCTCAATTCTAATACCAAGTGCATGACAAAAGAGAATCAGTCCTCTGCATTTCTCATAGGCACAAACTCGTCCTAAACTGAAAGGACAAGTTGTTTATTGAGGCAGACAGCTAGATCATTAAATAGTGCAAATAAATACAGCTCTTCTGAAGTCAATGTGACCACAGCGATCTACACCAACTATGGACCTGCCCTGGAAACATTAAGTGTAACAGATACGTTCCAGTCCAATGCTTATGTGAACCTGTCATGAAGCCAACATTTTGGCCGCTCCCTGCTGTATTTGCAGACCTATGAACCGTTTTATAAAAGGCTGAATTGCAAGAGACTGTTCAGCCATGAGGTTGCCGGGGCCCCTTTTCAAGGTCGAACTTGCCGTATTGTGCTTTTAATAAAAATCTGGAAGTTCTGCCTTGTGGACAGCCAGCTGACAAACACAGATGTTCATGGAAGTATCTAGACACAAGTGAGCCGATCATGAGCTCACAAGCTATATTGGATTAAGGAAGATATTAGCTAATCAATTTTTTTTCAAGTAATCTTTAAAAATTCTTGGCAATCCAATGTAATGGTATGGAATACAAGGCTTAGGAATACAAAACAAAGCACATCCGGAGGACTTTGCTGGCACTGCTATCGCACACAGTTCCTTTGGAAAAGCAAAACTGTTCTATATTTATGCGCTTGCAAAAACATCACCATATTTCCCATCATACAGCTCACTCCTATGGAATGTAGCAACATTGTTAAATCCTTCTTGCAAAGTCTAGCTCACAGAAATAAAATAAATCAGTGGTGAACACTACTTAAAGCAACACACTGTATAAGGCCATAAGGGAAACATGATCAGTTGGGGAGGAGGGGGCAGATTTTGAATGTAGCAGCTGAGCTGGCAAACTTGGATCCCAAACCTAAATAAATATTATATAGTATTGCTGGAACAATACTGAACAGATCTCTCCAAAGCATTCATGAGAACAGCTGGGATGTCCTTGTTATAGTATCAACAATTAAGCCTAGTAATGTTAGAAACCCCACAGTAATAGCAGGCACCCCATAGCAATGTCAGGTGCACTGTCCCAACTGAGATAGCTTGGTGTAAAGCCCAAACCCTGAAATCTGCTTGTCTTTCACTATTAATTTCACTGTTAATGTGTTCAAGCAGGGCAGTTTTGATATGCAACAAAAATCTTGGATGCAGACAAAAGGCTGACATGCTTTTACAGAAAAGACCGTGTTTCCCAGCAAAACACTTGACAATATGATTATTTGTTCTTTGAAGAGACAAAATTAGTACTCAAAGGGAACCCATTTTTAATCGAGCTTCAATTTTTGTGCAATATCCACGCAGAAAGAAAAAAATCTTCTATTTGAATGAATAATCCAAAGGACCTATTGGTTTTATCAAAGTTGTGTTGTACTCATGAAGGTAATACTAAATACACCCTCAGAGGCAGAAATAGACAATGAAAATAAATCTGACACATAAGGAACAAATTATGGCTATAAGAGAGGGGGATTTGGGTGTGCAATCTTTTTCATAATGCATTGAAGATTCTCGCTTTTTTTGTCACTTCTTCCCAATTTTGAAAGCATCTGCCTCAAAACACTTGCTCAGGGAAGTGGGAGTGTGAAGGTGGAGGGGCTGCGTGAGAGTTACAGCTTGCTAAGCATATGGCAGTACACATGCCCATATTAGCAAATGCTTACTTACCCAATATATCAGCAGCCCTCATCGTCTCCTTTAGGAATAAGACAGAAATAAATGCACTACCTAGAACAGAGATATAAAGATGCCTTTTATGTTTGATAGAATATCAAGTGCTATAGCAAAAAGCTCACTTGGCCAAAGAATAAATATGTCTCATAGCTGCTGTTGTTGTACTATACCGTGGTATAACAGGACAGGAGTCCGTCTTGACAACCAACCAAGTCTCAGGTTTTGTAGTGTCTTAAATGCACCCAGTAGGCTCTTACTTGGTTGAAGGGATGTGATACCCTGCCTGTCTCCCACACAGACACTGCTTTAACTGCCCTAGTTTAGTCGTATGTGAAAGCCTTAGGAAACTTGGGCACTCGTCATCCCTGCTGTTCCACTCTCTTGTTTCTCCATGAACTCAACTATATGGACTTGCTCAAGGCAAATTGCCTTTTAGAGGGGTAAAATTCTGCTTCCTTTAGTGCGTTAAAGGTTTATAAGTGAAGTAGCAGATGTACAGCCCAGAGGAAGAAAGCCACTGCAAAAGCATAATAGTATGAACTAAGAGACGGGTCATGATGTCTGCAAACAAGTAGGTGGATGAACTCACATGTGTCTCGTAGTGGTAGCACTGCCCACAGCTTTCTAGAGTGACTTGTAATGAGGAGGGAGAAAAACAGAAGGGAGCACTGAAAAAGACCTCCTATTTCCTGGCTGTCAACTCTTTCACTTGTCCAGCCCTTGTATCACCCCTTATGCCTCCTCCTGAGCCCTGCCTCTTCTGGAAGGGCAGCAGTGGGTGAGCAGAAGTAGTGATCAAGATGGGATTTCCGGCAAACAACTCAGTGTGGACATGTGCTGAAGAGGAAAGAAGGGATTTGGACTTAAGATGGATGAGACTGTTGGCCAACCAGGAGAGAGAGTTCTATTCCAGCATACGTTACAGCATCTACCTCCAAGGTGATGAGAAAGAGGCTGAAATGCTTCTGTTTAAAAGAAATGAGGGAAGGCCTTTAGGAAAGGTGCATCAGTAATGCTAGATTCATTTGGAAACGTCAAGACCTCTGCCCAGGAGGCATGCGCTTGCAAAAAAGCAGGGACACATTGAACCTAAATCAAGGGATGGTGTTACAGAAGGTGTTACAGAAGGTCTGTTCCTGCCTACAGCATAAATTTCTTGGTTTGTTCTTCAAATAACAATTTAACCTTTTTGCAGCTGTCCTTGCCTAGTATCTCTATTGTTCTAAAGGAAAAGTTAATTTGTGGTTAGCTCATAGATGTATCACAGATAAATCAAAACAGCACCATATCAAGAGATAAATAGAGATCTGGAATTCAGCATTTTGTCTGTGTTATCCAATCAGTAGAAAATCAGACATAGCATAAGCCATAAATTTAAACTGTATGAAGAGTAATGGAGATCTATCCAAATTAATAGAAGTAATAAAAGAAACTTTAACTAAAAATGCCTCACTGAAAGCAAGCTAAAGTGACGTGGCCTCCTTTTTACAGTGTTACAATGATAGCTTTACTGAGGAAAAGACACTGGTATCCAGGCAACACTGGTACAACCAGAGCTACCTAACTTTAGAAAAAGAAGAGGATAAAAATCAGGAAAAGAGCTGCAGCCACCCTAGTAAGAGCAGAAATGAATTACTGCTCTGTCTCCCTGCCATCATAGCTCTCAAATGACATCTCAGATTACCCAGCCAGGCAGTCACCATAACGAGAAAGACCTGCTGCTTAATGAACGGGTGCCTCAGTGATTTTTGGTTTTTGAGTCCATGTTCTTGTCATCAACATTAATAAATACACTAAACTGAAAATGAGAAGAATGCAGGACTTGACCCTGTTAAGTGCTGAGCATCTCCTGGGAAGGACTGGCTGCCTCCTCCTCTGATGGACTGACAGAGAGCTAAGAAACACCAATGTCTTCTGGGAGAGGATGACAAATTTTGGTCAATGATCCTTCAACTCACAAGACTAATATTTCACACACGTGTTTCCATGGGCCTCATGTGGGATTCTCACATGCAGTGCTCCCAGCTTATTACAAGTCTTATACCAGTTATGGTGTGTTCCTATCTTACCAAACCTTAGCTATCTTCAGCAGAGTACCCATGTCTGAGCTTGCTGTCAGGCCTCTGTGAGGGGGTTCTCTTTTCCACCTCCTCGACGTGCTGCTCTTCTCCCTCAGCCTCCCTCCATCCGTGACAGCCTTTCAATGTATTCAGTGGAGGTCTAATAAATGCAATTTAGGGTTCAGTTTCAGTGCTGGCATCCAGTTTGGGATGGGATGTGTTGCGCCCCAAATTCCACTGCCTAGTTCTCTGGAGATGATAAGGCAATCTAAGTGATCACAACCTCTGAAGATGGCAGTGGGCACAGGGGGGACAGTGCGATCTCCAGAATGCATTCAGATAATGAAAACTGTCATTCAGTCTGCCATCCCCTTTAATAATGCATTCAAATGGGGCAAGCTCTTTCCCCAGAGATGGCTGGTAATGCACAAGAGATCATGAGCTTCACAGAATATATGTATAATTAATTCTCTTTATGATGTGTAATATGTAGAGCAGTCCAAAGATAGGAGCAGTTTTAAGAACATGTATTAGGGCCATCTGGGACGGGAGGAATTGGCAGAAACTGAAATAGGAGGAGAGGTGCAACAGGGAAGGGAGGAGAGTGAAACCCAGGAGAGACTTTGAACAGAAAAGGCAACTGCCTCTGTGGATAAGCCACCAAGATTTCATATGCACTGAGGAGTAAATTAAGAGCAGTCTAAGCAAAAGAACAGGGAACAGTTACATAGAACTAATGAGAGAGGACGTACATGGCAGCCTGGCAAAAACTGGCTATTACCTTCAGGAGTAAGCAAGTTGCTGTAGCACAGCCAGGACAGCACCTTGTTATTATACATCGCCTAACTTTTATTTTTACTTGTAACTTTCTGTTTTTAAGCTTTATAAGTTTGATTTTTAAATCATCTTTTATGCTCTCCAATTTGCAGAGTCGGACTGAGCCAGGGTAAATCAGAGGCACCGAGTGCAGATCATCTCCATGTAGAGAGCAGCTCTCTAGAAAGGATGGGCTGGAGGAGGAGAAGTAGTTATAAAGGGAGCATGAGAGCCCCAGGAGTGCAGGCTGGCGCTTGCTTCCCTTGCCGTCTGTAGGCTCTGGCATTTTTCCCCAGCTGGCAAAGACAAATGGCAGGCAGCAAAGTGCATCCCCAGACCCCGGGAGAGAAATGTTGAGCCCTCACAGCTGCTCTGCCCCTCTTCCTTAACACTCTAGGGCTCCAGCTCACAGTCTCAGCTGGGTCTAGCTGCTTAAGACATTAATCCCTCCAGAACAGGCAGTTCAAGCCAATATGCTAGACGGCAAACACTTCCCCCTGCATTTCTTCTATGGCGTAGTGGCCTCCTTGCTTTGAGCCAAGGGTTTGATTAGGGGCCTCCCAAGGTCCCTTCCAGCCTGAATTACCCTATGAGCCGATGAACTCATGGCAGAAGACTAAGTGGGCAGCCAATGGCCTCAGCTAAGCACACCGGATACATGAGTCAGAGCCCTTCCTACGTCCCCACTTCAGCTCCTCAAGCAGCCCTGCCGAAGCGCCCGTGCTCAGCTCCCCAGACCCTCCAAGCCTTCCCCGCGCCATCGCTCACAGCACAGGCAAGGTGTCCCCATCTCCCCATGACCCTACCTCAACACCTGGGACTTCATACCCTCATGCTTCACCCCCGACCAACTTCCTCCTTGCCTGACTGAGGTGGCCTGCATCTAACTTCCTTTTACCCAGCCCCAAATTTCCCCTTCCTCACATCAGAGTCCTCTCGTTCCCCCTCTGTCATCAGAGCTGTATGCATCCTTCTCCTCCACCAGTACTACTGATGTGGAAAATAAATCACTGAACATTATGTTCAACTCTGTGGTGAATAGACCGAGGAAGGGGGGAAATGGCTGTGCTAAAAGGCATTAATGTGCCTTAGCAAATGTTCATTTGTTTGCCAGTTTCTTTTTTAAAGAGCTATAGACAGTTACAGAGACTAAGATCTGTGCCCAAGTGAAGAATGTTCTCTAGTTTTTTTTTAATTGATCAGCCATAGAATTCAAAAATGCAGTAATACAGAAAAAATTGTGTCAAAGTGTAAGCTATCAGGAGTCTGACAATAAAACAAGCAATTTATAATTATCTTAAAATCTCATTGGTTTTGAGTCACTGGTTTGGACAAAACCACACATGCTCAACTCTATGTCTGAGCCTGTATGTCACTGAGGCTAGGACAGCATCCCTACTTGTTTGAGAAGACTTGTATACGTTCAGACATTCAGAACGTTTTTGACTTTTTAACTAATTATTAAGGTAAAACTTTCAAAAATAGGCACAGATCCTACTCCTACTGAAAGCCTGCTAGATCAAGAGCAGGGCAGAAAATTCTGGGAGACTTTCTGTTAAGTATTAAACATTACAAAACTGAGCCTGGACAAAAGAGGACTGCATGAATTAAAACACATCCCAAAGAAATCTTTGCATTCATTTCTCATCTTGATTGCATGATGCTCATATTAATATATACAATCTGGTAAATAGGTCTATAAAATATCTGTATCTATATGTTCCTTTCTGAGGGCTCTTGAAACTCTTCAATGTGGAAATACAGAATTAGTATTTCAAATGAAAAATATTATGACTTGGTACAACATCAAATTCACAACAAGTAAAAACTACTGGGTAGAAAATGCAAAAAAACCCAGTTTATTCAGAGCTTTTATTTTTTATTTTTTGAAACAACCCTATCTTCTCATACTTCAGCATAACACAGGCTGTTTTGTATTCATCAGCTCTATATTACTGCAGCACATGAATTCCAATTTTAACTGAAAGAAATTGTAGGAAGTGTTCTTTTTCTGCATGATATACAATTAAGTGCTTCACAGGGAAGGGCTGTAGTGGTGCTACACACAGCTTTGTCAGATGCTGATTCTCCTAGGAGAGTGATAGTGTGCGATTATCTCCATATGCAGGGTTTCTCCAGCACAAACGGATAGTATAAAATGTGTATTCTACCACTAGG